AAATAAACTGAATTGCTGTGTGTGCTGCCTTCTGCTTAAGTATGCTTTTCTCTTCAAGTCAAAACTCAAGTCCTTCAGACAGCATACCATACAGAGCCAGAGCCATGCTCAGAAAGAGGTTTTGTGATGTTGGGTGCTGGTCTCTTGTTGAACTTCTTCACACCTGGGTTTGACCCTGGGTTTTCCTTTGCCAAGGTGGCAGGTTCTTCTCTGCTCCATCTTGCAGGAAGTCCTTCTGATGTTGGTCACTGGCCCATCAGGCATGTCAGAGTACAATTAATGTCCCTCTGTCAAATTGTTCTCTTGTGCTTTCTACATATGGTTCATGGTCCAAAATGTAAAATAGTAAAAAAGAGCCCTTATTTTCACCACATGATCCCTCTAGAGACCCAGCAAGATATTCTCATTCTCAATTCAGATAAACTCCAACAAGAGTACTGCCAGCATCAATATTAATTCAAGCTATGCAAGGTATCCATCATGTCTTCATGCTCTTCTAATCAGTTGCTCCTGTTTCACAAGTCAGAAGACAAAAATCTTGATTTGTGTCTTCAGTTTAATCCAGATTGATGAACTAAGCAGGCTTTATTTTCTTTATTCAACTTCACTATTTACAAAGATATTTGAACAGAAGTCCAGACTCTGATGACCCCTTATTACCTTAAGGACCTCAGAGAGGAGCTGAAATTGGGACATAGGAGGCAAGTGGGTGGCTGATGTAGAGACTCTTCCTCCAGCAGCACTGGCTCTGCAGAGACAGCAGCAAGGAGGACTCCTTGAGGTCTCTACTGGATGCTCACCTCTGTGCAGGGCTGCAGATCAGGGCCAGAGCCTGCCTTCATCCCCAGGCTGGCTCTGTCCTTGTGCTCCCCATGCCGTGGAGCACTGCACCCTCAGAAGTGTCGGACTCCCTCAGGGAGACCGAAAGATGTGGGAGTGGATTATTTTCAGTCTGTGTAGTTACTGAGTTAGTGCAGTTATTTTAAGAAAATTTTCCTGTTGCTCCCTGGCACAAGAACAGCACAGGTTCATGCCATAACCTTGTTTCTCTCCCTCTGAGTTTTCTGACTGCTGGTCACATAGCACCCAACATCTCATCATCTGTAACACATACATCCCCACACCAGCTCTGTAGGAAAGTGAGTGCCCCCATAGACATAACCATATGACATCATTTAAGATGCTGTATAGTCTCCTTTAGGGTTATCCACTGTAGATCTGGAAAGACTCCTCTAGGTCCTACACTACAACTGCCAGTTCCCTGTCAGTGTCTCTGGTACCCAAGACATTGTTGGACTGTGATACCTGGCTCCAGAGACTTCCAAAATGCAATTTGTAGCAAGGCAGAGCTTGGCCAGTTTCCATATTAAAAGGCTGAGCCATCAGTAAACTTTCTCTTTTTTTAAAAAAAATAGATAAATTCAATTATTTTGTTTTAATTGCCCAGAATGTAAAAGCCATGATCATTTCCCAGAGAGTTTTCTGGTCAGAGAACAGAATTGGGTTTAGCTGCTACAGCATTTTTATTGTTTCTCTGAAAAGAAACACACATTTGATTTAGTCCTGAATAGAGAAGTCTTTTTTGACTGCATATCTCCAAACATGTAGAACAGAGTTCAGCCTTACAGTTTGATTGTTCCATATTAAAAACCAGAGGTGGTAAAAGGACAGCAAATGAAAAGAGCATCACAAGGCTGTACTAAGAGTCACTCACAAGTGGCAAAGAGGGAAAATAATCCATTCCCTGACACAGCTTCAAAGCAGCAGCTAATTCAAAAGAGTTTAGAAAACAAGTATAAACTGTTAAATAATTTAATACACAAAAATATTTTCCCCTAATGATACTGTTGTTTGGTTTTCTTTTTAAATGTATTTATTTGACAGGCAAAAATTTTAATGGTGTAATGGTCTGTTGACTATAATTGCAGTAACTTACACATTTTCAAATTAAAAAAAAGCACAACCCACGGCAATGTCATCAAAGCCATGTGTCATTAGCACATTTTTAAGATGTAAATAATACATTGTCTGGCTTTCTAATGCAATTTTAACATTATAACCTCTCTGACCACAGGACCAGCCAAAAAATAAATCCAAGAAAAATATCCGTGTATTCATGGGTTTAAACCTCAGACTCATTAAATAGACTTTATGGTGATGTACCAACCACTGTGTTGCAGAGACAGGAACACTGAGAAGCAAAAGCCACAGCACTCCCTTATCCAAGAGCAGTTAGGAGAGAGGCCATCAGCACTGCCTGTGCCCCACCTGCCACCTCCTGCCTGCATGGTCACCTTGCAAGATGCTGCTTGTCACCTTCCAGCACACACCATCACCTGCTCAGGCACAGAGGCATCTGCATTTTCTGGAGGGCAGCTTCTGACCATGCCCAGGGCTGTACTTGTAGGTTTCTTGTCTGACCAGATGGCAGAACTAGTTTAGAAAATAATCTCAGGTCGCCTTTCCAAAGACTGCAAATACAGACAGGCAGACTGAGGAAAAAGCTGCTGTAGTTTTTTTGGTGTTTGAGCTGGCAGGTCATAAATCCTGCAAATCCACACCCCTTTCTTACCTTTTATTGTACATTGGTTTTTAGGCTTGCTTCTGTAAGAGGTGGCAGCTATAGAAACTTCCCTTTGGTGGCTGTACCCAGAGAACAGGATGGGTCTGGATCTGGGTCTGCAGCATGTGTCTCGGACTCCTCTCACTAGCAACAGATGATACTTGGCAAATGCCTTTTAACTGGCTGGAGAGAAAATGAGATTAAAGACAAAGCAGGGAAATGGCACCCACTGAATTCAGGGCACAGAAATAATCTGGGGTGTCTCCAGGAACAGAATGAACAGACAACTATATGCTAAGGAATATGCTGGAGCAAAGGGAATTAGGATGCGTCCCCTTTTCTGGGTGGAGAATTTGCAAAGCCATAGTCTGACTGACCCAGACAGATCTTTTATTTGCTATTAAAGATGTAGGCCTGTCCCTCATGTTCCTAACACAGACTCTTGGAAATGGCTACACCAGACATTGAAATGAAGAAGGTTATAACCCTAGGTCTCCTTCAACTAGATCCCACTGCACTGCCTCACAAGGGTGGCAGCCCCTGAAATCTCTTTAACAAAACACTGTCACGTATCTCCCCTTCATAGGATGCACTGGAGTGCTTTACATCAATGCCATGAGTGGCACATGCAGACACACATGACAAGAGCTAAATGTCACGTTAACATGGTCCAGTTAACATGAATGACCTTTTTGAAATTTGACCATTGCCATCACATTCCTTCAGAATGATGGCCATGTGGGGAAGGATGGATTGCTTAGGAAACCTGGTCTGCCTTGCCACTGGGGGGGTGAAATCTCAGTCAGCCTGGACTGCTAAATACAACGTGACCAACATTCTTGCTGAATACTGAAATACAGCCAGCTGACCTAAGATGCAGCACAGTAAGAGATGTACCAGTGAGAGTTACTTAACAGTGGTAAGCTTTTCACTTGTGGTATTTTCACTTTGATGGGTCTTCCCAGAGCAAGAAACACAGTAAAATCAAATCAAAGAATTTATTTGCATAGGAAATAGCAAAAATAGCACCACTGAGAGATACAGTAAAGACGTTGTTTAACCCTGGCATGTGAACATGTTATTTAATTCCATTTTTCAGTAAATTTCAAAGGCAAATTGTATCCATTACTGGTTGAGGAAAGGCTCCACAGCTGGCAAATAGTTACATCTGGGCCTCAGGGTCTGATTCTGGAGTGGCTGCAGACACCTGTGACTTCTGCTTGGCTTAGCCAGCTTGGAAGCATCATGCCATGTTGTTAACATGCCAGCAGGGCAGAGTGTCTCATTTCCATCTCCAAAAGACCTGATGAGATCTCCAAACCCATTCAGTACTTAGAGCCTGTGTCAGGTTCAATGCTCTGACTTCTCGATACAAACTGCTTTGTGCAGAGGAGTTTTGAAAATGCAGCAGCTTTGTTGAATGGCACATAGGTCCTTACCACCTCTCAGACCTGCACCTTAGTGATTGGAATTGTCTTGGTCAGAAGGTTAAACTCACAAGTGACCTATTGTGAAGCTCTTCTCAGACTTCGCCCCCTCTTAACCTTCTCTTTGCATTCTCGGGTTGATTTTTGCAATTATCTGGTAGAGAAAAAGGGGCAGTGTCTGCCTTTTTGCTTTCACCATCACACACAATTTCCTACAGGTTTCTGAACATTGCTCTGACCCTTTATCAGAGACTAACCTCCTCCTAGACCAGCCTGCAACTTCTCACCTACCCTCTAAAACATGACATTGCTAAGTTATTGTCATAGGGGACCATCCAAAACAGTGAAGTTTGGTCTCATTTGGCTCCCTGAGATTTTGGGGTGAAACAGTAGTAGGAAGCTGTGTGTACACTTACAATGAAAAGGAGATTTGGCAGCCCTGAGCTGGTAGAGGACAGTATGTCTTTTTGCAGAGGCATCTCTCTGCCAGAAGGAAGATAAGCTCCATCTGGTGGGACTAATCCCACACTGAAGCTCTTGCACAGGGAGCCATAAGGAGGTTTAGATCATCTCTGCAGTCTCTTCAGGTGTTACTGTGAGACCCCACATGGTCCCATAAAAAGTATTTCATATAGCATGCTGATTCACTTATAAAAACATTAAATTTAGTAGGTATCTTCTGGGAAACACACACTGGATGTTCATAACTGTCTGTCCAATGTGAGTTGAATGTACTGGAGATCTCTTCCCCAGCTTTGGCATGGCTTTGCCTTTCTTCTTTCCAAGTGGATGGCAGATAGCACCAACAATCCTGCAATCAGCCTGTGTCTCACAGGTAATGTCCCAGGCTGCATAGTGCAGGATTTGATTTCAATCTCAAGGGTGAAGTAGAAGGCTTTGGAAAGAATTAACCAAGTAACAGACACAAATTTTGGCATCGGAATGGTTTTGTATGAACAGCTACACAATGCATTGATATCATATGCTCTTCAAAAGAGATAAACCCCCTTATTTTTAATGTTTTAATATGCCCTGCTGTTAGAGAAAACAAAAACAAATTCACATATCACATCAAAGATAATAATAATAATAATTATTATAACTCATAAAAATAATCTGACCGACCGGCAGCATTTGTTGGCTTTAGAAGACCTCCCACAAAAGAAACACAGTTGAAGACATCTGAGAGCCCTTTGCAGGCATGGTGGATTCAAGTTTTGAAAACAAGTCTGGGGATACTTCCTGCATGCTAGGGCCCTTTGACGTTGGCAGGTCTGGCAGCCAGGCTTGCATAGTAAGCACACTGAGCAGGATCACATCGTCCACTGGCTCCTGGAGGTCCCTGTGGACCCATGAGACCAGGCACCCCAGCTTCACCTTGAGGGCCAGGTGGTCCTGGCATCCCATCTTTGGCATAGCCAGGCTCCCCTGGGAGGCCTAAAATAAAAACAAGATGCCTTTGGTGAGACACACCTCCAGGGTGAAGCACTCAGCAGTGTAACATCACACAAGATGTCTTTGCTGTCAACCTGGGAGAAGGTTTCCTATAGTTTCCTCCCCCAACAAAGCAAGGTGAAGGCAAAACTGATCAATGGCTCCTAATTTCAGATTAGAAAAAAAATGCATTTGCTGACACATGAGCTGTATGCCCGAGGATATAACCTTTCATTTACCAGAAACTCTGGGTTTAGCTTGGTCACAACGAGATTTTGGCAAGGGCAGATATGACACTTCACTGTGTAACTAGTAATTAAAGCTTCACTTTGTTTTTGTCCCAAAGGTCAGTTAACCTAGCTGAGATGGATCATTACACCTGACAATCAGGCTGAGGAAACAAAGGTGGCCAGATATAACGTATTTCTTTCATTTGGGCCACTTTCCACAGAAATTGTGTGTGCTGGATTTATGTTATTCTGCTTGTCTGTCTAACATGGGAGAGACCTGTGTCCTTCTCATGTTTCTGAATGATGTGTTTTGTGGGGTGTTCTGAATAAACACACCTGGAATTCCTGGAGGACCTATTTCCCCTCGCTGGCCAATGCCTGTGTCTCCTTTCTCACCCTTTGCTCCTCTTTCTCCTGTAGAGAAGGAAAGAAAAATAATTAACTCTGGCATGAGATGTTAAGTGGGAATGAAGACTCACTCAACTCCAGTTCTGGACAGAGGTAGAACAAATCAGCAACTGATGGTCCCATTCACCACCTCTGGTTCAACAGACTGAGGCTGTTCCTAACACATGAGTTCAGAGGACTAGATACTATCAACAGGAAAGGTGGACATCAAAGGGTGATGGACACATCCCTTTATTTGATTTACCAAGCAAACCAAGTTTCACTCACCTTTGGGACCAATCGGTCCAGGTGGCCCTTCAGACCCAATTTGTCCAGGCCGGCCAGGCTCTCCTGGGGGGCCAGTTCTTCCTGGGAGTCCTTCCTTCCCAGGGGGACCAGGAGGTCCTGGTCTGCCATGGGATGCTTTTACATGTGCAGGCTGTAGCTGAGCCAGGAGATAGTCTAGCTTTGCTGTGAAGAGAGGGAAATAAGTTTGTTAGACTAGAGAGTCAGCATTCCAAGACACGGAGACCCAGAACCAGCAGCCCATTAAAGCCCAGGTGTTGTCACAGATCAATTTTTCAGGGCCACCCCTTTGTTGTCTCTGTGAAATCCTTCCCCATAAGCCATGACAGTGCCTCCCTGGCCCTCTCTAAATTATTTAAATCTCATTCTTCAGTAGCTCTAAACTCCTCCTAAGTTTCATACTGAACCCTAAACACTTCTCTCATCCTCTGCTCCTTGATCACCAAGGATCTGAGATGTCCTTTCCTTGAGCTGTGCATCTGGTGGATCTTTGTCAAACTGGAATAACTGGTGCTCAGAAAAGAACAGCCCATTTCTACTCTGTGACATGGAGAGAGATATTACCTGGCTTCTCTGTGGGGACAAAGCCTCCTTTTTTTGCTCTGGAATGTTACATGTGTGGAGTTAAATCTGAGGTAACCATCTCTGGCTGTGAAGTCAGAAACTGTAACTAAGTCAGCTCCCTGTGCGTGCACATTTCCCAGTTTCCAAACAGGCACACTGCTTGCCTCTTCCAGATTCAGACCCTGAGCAGCCTTGAGAGCTCTTAAGCCATACTCAGCATCACAGAAACATCTCACAGAAATGAGGGAGGAGGGTTTTCTACTTTCATTGATCCAAAATCTTGAATGTTTTTGGATTGGCATAGAATCTGAGAGTGTGTAAATAAAAACCTTCAAATTAATCATTCCATTGAATCATGATCTTTAGCCTCAGGAAAATCCCTGCAGCTACATTCCAGCTAGTCCAAGAGCTCTGTGGGGAGAAGCACTGCAGCTCAGCATTCCACTGTAGATGGGGTGAGTGGTGGTGTGCAACTCATGTACTTTGAGAGAAGCAGCAGTCCACATCCACTCCACACCCCCTTCCTGTGCTCAATGGTATCAAATATTACAGACAGAAATCAGGAACATTTCTCCTCCAGCTAGGACCTCAAAAGCAAGTTTACTCTGATTACTGTTCTGCTTGAGGATAGGAAGGCTCTAGAGAGCAACCTGGACAGGCTGGATCAATGGGCCAGTTGTATGAGGTTCAACAAGGACGAGTGTCAGGATCTGCACTTGGGTCACAACGACCCCAGGCAACACTACAGGCTGAGGGAAGAAGAGTGGCTGGAGCTGCCCAGAGGAAAAGGATCTGGAGATGCTGGTTGACAGCCAGCTGAACAGGAGCCAGCAGTGTGCCCAGGTGGCCAAGAAGGCCAACAGCATCCTGGCTTGTATAAGAAATATCATGGCTAGCAGGAGTAGGGAAGGGATTGTCCCCCTTTGCTCAGCACTGGTGAGTCCTGTGTGCAGTTCTGGGCTCCTCACTGCAGGAAGGATATTGAGGAACTGGAGATTGTGCAGAGAAGGGCAACAAAGCTGGGGAAGGGTCTACAGAACAAGCCTTATATGGAACATCTGAGGGAACTGGAGATGTTTAGCCTGGTGCAAAGGAGGCTGAGGGGAGACCTTCCTGCTCTCCCCCATTACCTCAAAGGAGGTTGTAGCGAGGTGGGTGTTGGTCTCTTCTCCAAAGTAAGAAGTGATAGGACCAGACGAAATGGCCTCAAGTTGTGGCAGGGGAGGTTTAGATTGGATATTAGGAAAAATTCCTTTACCATAAGGTGATTAGCAGAGGCAAAGGCCTTGGGCTGAAGAAAGGAGAAAGCCCCTGTACTATTGCTGGGAACATTAGTCCTGGGAAACTGTAAAGCTTGCTGAGCATATTTCATTTTATGTGCTCCTCTTTCCAGGTAGGTTTGTTGCAATGTTGCTTTCCATAAGCAGGAGAGATTCAGGTGCCAGTTACACCAGCACAGCTATGGAAAGTACCTTTCATACTCTCAGATCTACCTACTGGCTTCCTAGAGCTGATTACTTACCATCTAACTGCTTGGCTAACTCCTCTTGGATGAGCCTTCTCAAAGTCTCTAGGGATGGGGGTTCCCCCTAGAAAGTAATGATCACAGTAATAACAAGACATAACAATCCCAGCCAGGGGATGTGCAAACAAAACTCTCCACAAATGGTTTTGTCACCCACTGCACACACAGGCTGCAGTGAGTGTCTGAAAGAATAATGTAAAAGGACTGAACACATGCCCAGTTCCCAAGCTGCAGCAAGCCATGGGCTCAACAGTGCAAGCAGGGAGCCTGGTGACAGAGCATGATTGCTCCTCTGTCCCTGTCTCCTTCCTACAGAAAATCTCTCTCCTATACAGTCATAGGAGAAGTAGTAGACATTATATTAGGAGACATTCTCTGCTGCATTAGACCATAGTGGAGAGCCTACCTCCTTCCTCCTTCAGAGCAGAGAGCCTTCCTCCTACCTCTGCCTGCTTCCTTGCAGAGAGAAGCACACATGTTCCCAGGGAATCCAGACTTGCTATAAACACTCGTGCTGGATTAACTGCCTACTGACAGGCCTTATCTTGGGGAAAGGAAGCCCATTCCTCCACACAAGTACAAAAAAGATTTTTGGGGGGGTTTTCAGCCCCATTAGCCAGATAGGGCTCCCTGGCTGTGGTCCCCTACCCAACCTCCAAGAGATAGCAACCTTCATCCCCTCTCTCTTGCAGCAATGCTGTTGAACAGCTGTAATAGCTGTCACAGCTCAAAGCTGTGTGAACAACTCTGGGTGATCCAACTGAAAAAAATGATTAAAGCATTTCTGGTGGGCTGGAAGGAGAATATTTCACATTTTGGGTTTCCAACAACATTTTAAAAAGGGCTTCTAGGGTAACAACTAGACTCTTGCATTTACATAAGCTGAAAAGAAAAAAAAAAGCTATATTTAAAACAGAAAACCTTTTGAACCAACCAAATCAAATATTTCCCTTTGGAAATCACAAAGTGAGATGTTTCACTTGAAATACACTTTTCTTTTTTGGCTATAAGTGTTCTTTGAATTTCTGCCAATTTTGAAAATACTTCTGGTCAACCTAAAAGCTTCATTCTTCTGTGAATGAGCTGTTTGCCTGAAATTGTTGCTTTCTCTTCACACCTATCCTTTTAACATTCAAAGATGGAACCAATGCCCCCCCTGTCTAAAAAAGCCTCATGAGATCTTCTGAGTCAATCACAGAACCATAGGATGGTTTGGGTTGGAAGGGACCTTAAAGATCATCTAGTTCCAACCCCCCTGCATGGGCAGGGACACCTCCCACTAGACCAGGTTGCTCAGAGCCCCATCCAACCTGCCCTTGAACACTTCTAGAAGTCACTCTTCATTAAAATAATGTAGATTTAATTAAATAGCTAAAAGATATCTCAGTTTTAACCAACAACATTGTTGATAACTACACGGTTGGTCTCTTTTCTGCCTTCTTCCCAACACAAATTTTGCCTGATAAAAAGATGTGTTTGTTGGTGACAAAAGAAACAGTTTTGTCATTAAGTACTAACCATTTGTGATGGCTCAAAGTGAATATCCCAGTAAGTAAACATGATTGTGGAACATATTTTGAATGAAAATTATGTGGAACATATATTGAACAAATGATCTTTTCAAGTTTTAACCATATTAGTTGCATTAAGCCTCCATAACCGGCACTGGATTTCATCAAATATCTATGTTGTTGAGACACACAAAGAAAAGCTTTATCTAAAATTTACCCAGCTTTTACATCAGAGATTATTTCACTGCTTATTCCTCTCTGAGGTAATCTCAGATTCATCCTCAGGGGGGGCAAAGCAGCTTCACTAGTGTTGACAGTTCTTCTCATTCTCCTACATGCGTTACCCTCAGGCATTCTCAGTAGCAGGATTGTTTCCCATTAGGAAAAAAAAAAAAAAAAAAAAAAGATAATATTAAATAAAAATAGGATTTCATGAATACTGATGAGCTGACTCCAAGATTTCCAGGAATAGAGCAGTGACCTTTCCACGGCTCAGCATTTTGTCTCTCATAACAACCAGCAGCAGAGGAAGGCATCAGATCTCTGTATGAAATGCATTCACACCCTTACAGAAAGCAGCTTTTTCAGACTCCAGACCCATGGCTACATTACCTGATTTGGGTTTTTAAGGGTGTAAGGTGTCAGGGATGGCCACCCTGGCTATAGGTCTGGATTGCTCAGCTCTCCTGAAGTTCAATCTAATCCCCCCACAACAGATCCCTGAGATACACTATAGTTCTCCTTGTTATGAATCAGGAGATAAAAATGCTTCCTCCCCATTATAACACACACTTACTCTGGTTTCCATCACCTATTACTGTAATCTTGGGGACTTTTCTGATCACAGACTAAGGCAATAAAATCACTGTACAAAGCACTGCTCTGGTAGCCTTACCCTTGGTCCTGGAAATCCCGGCTGTCCTGGGGGACCAGGAGGTCCAACTTGCCCAGTGTCTCCTGGGGGTCCATGTGGACCCATCAGCCCTGGATGGCCTTTATGACCAGGTATCCCAGGATCACCTGGAGGGCCCTTTTCTCCTTGAGGGCCTTTTTCACCTTTGAGGCCACGCTCTCCCTAAGTGAAAAAAACCTGACATTACCACCACAAAATAAGAGGCAAACTTCTGATTTCCAAGCACAGCAAAACCTGAAGAGCTGAGCTGGCAAAGGGACTGAACACAACATCTGGTGCATTACAAATGATCCACAAGTTATTACTGACAGAGGATGATTAGGGAGAGGGCTGGGAGGGTGGGAAGTATGGCAGATCTCTACAGTCCATGTTTCACTCTTGAACAACCTCTTCCCCGAGCCACTAACTCAAAATAGACCTTTTTATTTCAATGTCATAAAATAACTAATAATATTCTCCAACTTACCCTCTCTCCTTTGGAACCAATTTCACCTGGTTTCCCTGGTGCACCCTGCAACAAAATAAGAGTAAGTATGAAAGAGCTATCCATAATAACAGTAAATAACAAAGCACATGCCTTTGCACATTTTTGTGACCTGGGGAAAATTTATATCCCTGTCAGTCCCACAGACACCTGAGAGCTCCCTGTTTTCTCTTAAATATCAACAATTCAAGAAAAAAAAAAAAAAAAGCGCCACAACAAAACCAACTCAATTTGTTGCAACCCAGGCAGCATCCATGATGTGGGGTTTTGTTTGTTTGTTTGTTTGTTTCCCTCCTCCCCCCCCCCCCCAA